TCTTATCACTATTTTTTGTTCATTTGCTTTTTTATTTTTGTTTTAATTTTTCTCACTACATCTGCCTCAGAAGGCTTGGCTACTAAAAAATTGCTTTGAAATTTGGTTATGTGTATATAGATATATAAATAGATACACACATATATATACACATACACACATACATACATAGAATTTTTAATGTATATATAATTTGGTTTTATATCTATAATTAGAATTGTTATAAAATTTTATGTATATAATTTGGTTATATATATAAGTAAAATAAGAATTGTTATAAATTTTTTTGAATTCTTTTGTTAAAGCCATAGCACTTAACATATTGGTAAGCATTTGATAAATGTTAAGTGAATGCAAAAGTGTGTCTCAACCAAGATATATTTTGAAACCTTAGCAAACATCACATTGGGGTATCAGTTCTGATGTAAAGAGCATCTGTAGTCAATTGAATATCTTAAGCTTTTCAGATAATTGAAAAATAATTTAGGTTTAATATATGTGCTAGTCATAAACATATTTAATATTTAAACATTTAACACAAAATTAAGATAATTTAACAGTATTTTAATATTAAATATTGTATTGGTTGGATCATTTTGATCACTTAATAAAATAACCAAAACATTTTGGACCAGTCTTTCCTTTTGCTGATATTCTAAAATCTGGCAGAAATACTAATTTTCAATATAGGATTCAAATGAAGGAAAACTTTTATGGCTTAGGGAGTTACATTTTAAAATATTTATTCAATTAGACCATCACATACAGTATTAGCTTAATGACAGTGAGCTTTTATAAATTTTATTTTTTATAACAATTACCTGAAACTCTTTCGGGTCACTTAAAATATGTGGCACCTTTTTGGGATTTTCATCTAGCTGTAAATTCTGGAGAATCAATTTATTCTGTATTATATCACAAGTGAAATAGATAGAAGTGGCATCAAGTAACAAATGGGCTACTAACCAATTGAATGACTTTAAATTCTGTTTGCCCAAATTGAACAGTGGGAAAATTAGGGAAATACATACCTACCCCTTTCTACACTGTGTAAGATCCATGAGCTATTTTATGTGAACAAAATTCCTTATGATCTTAGAGTTCCATTAGTTCAAATTATCATTAGGATGATCATTATTATGTTTGGCAAATTTTCTGTCTAGTTCCTTTTCTGTTGCAACTTCTTCAGCATAGATGATTGTGCAAGAAATAATTTGTTTTTGAATGGCTTCAGTAACGTTTGCAGAATATATTGAAATCAAAAAACTAACTTTCAAACCATTTAACGTTTTCTTATATGTTCTTTGTGTTTATTTGGCATATGTACACGTATACATATATTAAGTGCCAATAAAATCAAAATCAAAGACAGGGGAGATTCTAATATGAGTATCTTTTCTTTATACTATAGTTGGCCTCAAACACTCATACTCTGTGTCTTACCTGCTCTGGTGACCTTCTAGATTAGAGTTTCAGAGAAACAACCAGAGGTAGTAGCTGTAACAAGACAGCAGCTGGGACCATACGGATCTCAGCATCCTGCCTTATGGCCATTATCTTTGTTTCTATCTTTATGCTGCCACTATGTCTCCTTCTTGTGCTCTCCCTGCGTCCTCTCCTCCCTACCTCCTCCTCTTCCTGACTCCAGCTCCCATGGCTCCCTGTAACTCACCCATCCTCCTTCTTCATTTTTTTTCTCTATTGATACAAGATAAGCAAGATTTTTCCTAATTAGGAACAAATTTTTAAATATTTTTAAAAGTGTATATAGCTGTGCAGCTGCTATACCCTGATTCCCATAACCACCATTAACAATTGAAGAAAAATAAAATTTTTGTATACATTATCAATTAGAGTGTATTAGATCATAGGTCCCTTAAGGGCTGAAGAAACAGATATTTAAAATAAACGCAACAATTTTTTCATTTTTCTACGTAGGAGTAGGTTGTTGCTGTAACAAAAAATAATTTGAGACTAACAACAAGAAAGAATAGTGAGTAATATTCTTCCCCTCTTCCCCAACTGCTGAAAGTGAAAATCATGTCAGCATCAAGTCATTTTTGCCACATCCCTTGTTAACAGCTTTTTCAGGGTGGGTCATAGTACTATGTTTTTGTTAGTGTCTTAACTCCATAGTGACATGCTTAAATCTTATTCCACATTGATTTTTGTGGGGTGTGTGTGTGTGTGTGTGTGTGTGTGTATATGTGTGTGTGTGTGTATATTTTTAGAATACTCCTGATAGATTTAAATATTAAGTTATTACCAACTTGTCCAAAAATGTATTAGCTTTGAATGAAGAATAAATTCACTAATATGGGAGTTAATAATTGTTTTTTTTTTCTCTTTGGAATATGTGTATGATGTATCATTGTGAATGTCTAAAAAAGTAAACTTACTGTCTGCCTGTCTCCAGGAAAAAAAGTGGGACCTAATCAAACTGCCTTGGGGTCAACCCTTGTGGTTTTAAAGGCCCTTAATGTTGTCCAGCTGCAAAATAAAAGGAATTGGGAGGCGAAGTTGGAAGGAGTGGAGGGGGTTGGGGGGGGAGGAATGTGTGGAAAAGAACAGGGAGTCTGGCTTTTATTTTTTTTTTTTTAAGTGAGTTCAGTGCCAGCCTGGACATTGGCTGTACAGACTATTGAGCCATTGTCTGCTCCATTTCCAGAATAGCCCCCAGTTAATCACTTCGGCTTTGAAGGGAATTTCCTCGTGGAATTCTCCACAGAAAATCTAATCAACTGACCTGCCCTCCCAACAATGGAAGGCTTTTTTTTCCTCTCTTTCCCTTATTGGGGCGGGCTCTGTAATGTAGCCTTTTGTGCAGAATGAACCCTCCCAGTAGGAGTGGAGAGCGTGTGTGAGTGACTGAGTGTATGTGTGTGTGTGTGTGCATGTGTGTGTGAAGAATGCACACTATCTCGTGTTGGTGAGTGTATGCTTACTCCCTGACCAGATGCTGCGGTGTGCGGGGCAGCCACCATCTCTGCATGCGTGTCTGTGTAAGTGTCTCTCTCTGTGTGTGTATGTGCCTCTGTCATTTCATGTCAAAGGTACATTACCTGATTACCTTTCTCGCCTGCCAGATTTTTATCTAGATAATTGGAACTGCTATGGAGGCTGTGCCTTGCCAGCCAGCTTAGGATCTGTAGAGCCATAGTTTGTCCACCTTGTTATCTGTGTCTGCCTGGGCAGAGGAAATTAAAGAGATCCACAGCCAGGGGAGCGCTTCCTACTCCTGACCTCCCCCGCGATCCCAAACAGGACAGTTTGTTAGTCCCATCTTTTTGTATTTATGTTTTGATTTGGTTTGGGGTTTTCGTTCGCATGTGTGTGTTATTTTGGCATGTGGATACCTATTCCCCTCCACATCGCACATCGTGTTTTATGGAGTTTGGAGCTGAGGAAACTTTGGTTGGGTTGCCAGGACGTTCGCACCACTTTGCGGAAAGCACGAGCTAACAGTGAGATCGACAGAGTGAGTGACAAGTTGTTTACAGGTTTCCTTGAAGGGGCCTCTGCTATATTTCAATCTGTCAAAGTTGCTTTTCTTCCCTCAGAACAATGCCCGATTGTTGTGAGTGTGTGAGTGTGTGTGTATGTATGTGTGTGCGTGCGTTTCCGTGTGTGAACGGAGAGAGCCTAGAAAAGGGTGAGAAGGAATAACAATTCTTTGTGTAAAAATGCTATTACTAACATTTAAATTTTTTGCGTAGTTAATAAATGCAATTTAATCGGGCTTCTGTTATATAGACTTGGTATTTAATCAGTAGCAAATACGTTTTACAAAATCCTACTGTTATGTGTGTGTGTGTGTCTGTGTGTGTGTGTTGTGTGTGTGTGAGTTTTATGATTTAGAAGAGAGAGTATGGGAGACGTGTTAAATGAGTTGACTTCTCACATTCGGTGATGTCTAGAAGAGAGAATTAAAAGGAAAGGACAGGCACCCTGAGGTTGTCTAGAGCCTTGCAGCCCGAGCGTGTAGCTCCGTGGAGGGGGGAGCAGCCAGACCCCGCTGCTGGAAGTGCACTACCCCTTTAAGAGACTGGTCAAGGAGTCCTAGGAGAGGGAGAGGAGGGGAAGGGGGGGGAGAGAGAGAGAGAGAAAGAGAGAGAGGGGGAGAGAGAGAGAGAAGGAGGGAGGGGGGAAGAGAGAGAGAGAAAATCAATTGGTTTAGAAGGTTTGGACTCACTTGACAGGTTCAGTTGGAGACGATCATAGGTGGCTGCTGTGACAAAGGGAAATTGTGCTTTTCCAGCATGCTTACTGACCCTGATTTACCTCAGGAGTTTGAAAGGTGAGTACAGTTTTTTCCCCCTAATATATTGAAGTACAACTCTCCCATTTTACAGTAGTCTCTGAATCATTGGAAGATGCTCCCCCAAAACGTGTTTGTTAAGAGAAGCTTTTAGCTAGAGCTTCTGCAATCTTGTTAGCTGATTTTTTGTTGTGGTTGCCCGGACCAAATTGAACTGATTTGCAAAGTCTCCGAGAGATTTCTGCTAATGTTTTTAGGTTACGTCCTGTAACAGCAAATTAAATGAACCTTAAGCATCTCTCTCTCCCCCAACTCGCTGCTTCTTTCTTTCTCATTCACTCTCTTACTTTCTTCCTTCATTGATTGTTTTCTCCCCACCTTTTAAAAATGCTTTTGTGCAAAATGTTACCATTTTCAGCATCTCTGTCTCATGTAATAGCTAGGGTGACAGAAGGGTTTAGTGGTGCTTTAAACGGAGGCTATAAGTTCCTGTTTGATCCTTCCGTAAAACTTTGGAAGCTGCTCAGTAAAGCACATGACCTTTTGTTGATATAAGAGAGCGGTTTTTTTTTTCCCCCAGCAAAGAAAATTTAACATCAATGCTATGTTAGTAGAATACTCCATAAGTGTCAAAAATAGGGGGGAAAGGGGGTAAATGGGGCTGTTCTCTTTATAAGTTTTAGTGACCACTTTTTGTGTTTAGCTGTCTTAACTGAATTTTAATTTACTGTATTTTTCTCTTTTGCTATGATGGGAATAGTGTATTTGTAATTAAGTTGCTCCTAGAGAAATATCTGCAACATCCTTTTATTTGATGTTGTTGCAAGTAGAGCAGGGCTTTGAAAGAATTTTAGCCCTCTTAATGTTCCTATAAGTACACATTGCAATTTTTAAATTTGAGTTCTTATCCCAGCATAAGTTCATTTTTTTGAACTATAAATAGAATTTTGTTTGCCATTAAAAAGAATTCAAACTTTGTATTCTGTATGGTGCATTAAAAAAAAAAAGCTAAAAAAAGCCAGGATGCATGATACCCAGGCTTTTTTTCATTTTCATGAAAGCTACCTTCTGTATAAACATTTGTTGTATCTGACTATGCAATGCAAGCTAGGTGCTAGACCAGCTGGTTAAAAATATGCTAAGTCAAGCTGTTCATCGCTCAAACGACTGAATTTGATATGAAAAGACGAAAAAAGAAAGGACAAAGATTAAAACATTCTAGAAGTGAAGCAATGGAAGAAAAATAGAGTATTGAGGATAAAGTAACGCTTGAATGTGGTCACGTATTAGAGAAGCCAGTATCAAATCAGGGAAGAAAGTAAAATAGCCAACATATATACTTCAATGCTGTCATCTTTCTTTGATTTTTTCTGCTTTTTTAAAATTAAAGTGCATCTTTACTAGATAATTCCAGTGACTGTTTGAGCTTTCTTAACACTTTTGAATTAAAATTTTCAGTCTATATATTAACTCTTTAATTAGTTAGTTTTTATTTGCAAAGATAGCCTTATTTCATAGGTAAATGTTGAAGTTATTCGTCGTGGAACATACCATATATTACCTAATGTAGCAATTTGCTAATTTAACACAGCTAAATTTTCTAGCATGCACAGAGTAGCACTTAAATGACAATATTCTTTAATTCTAATTATACTTTTTGCAAATACAACTCTGAGACTGATTTGTAAGCCTGTTAACAGATTGTACTTATAAAAAGGTAGTTACATATTAACAGGCTGTAGCCTATTTCTCTATATAGGCAAGCTTCCTGCTGTGAACTTTATTTGTATTTTTTCAATTATCTCTTTTTAAACCAAACTTTTCCCTTTCCTATTCTGATGCTCAAATCTGTTAACATCTTATCTCTTCCTGGTAGGAATTTCATTTTTTTGTCACCCAGAGGCGTGCTTTTCTAACTAGCTAATTAAATAAGCAAGTCATAATCAATAGAGTTGCTAGTATGACTATCACATTTAGAAATATTAGTCACTGAAATAATTCTGAAAAAATGTCATATAATATAACATTCCTTAATAATTTCCCCTGTGGTGGTAATTGGTAATACATACAAAGATCTCAGCAAATCATTACTATTTGTTTACATTGAATTTGTACGGGTGAGTGTCTCTATAGGCACCCATGCATGATAGAGTATATCATGTAGACACAATATTGAATATTTATATTCTCCAAAGGAGGTATTTACAATGTAACTACACTATCAAATGTAATTAGATTTTTTTTTTTTTTGCCTTTTCAACTCTTTGCAACTTTCATTAATAAATAGGTCATTTCTATTGACTGTTAGTTTTTATTCTGTTGGGTCCCTTGCTAAAGATGAATTTTCCACCCAGACTTAGAAATCGAAAAGACGACTTCTAATTTTCTTTATGAAACAGAGAACTTTGATCTAGAGGACACAATAAGTTGCTTGGGGTGCATGTACTGTAAAAGTTTTATGTGATAATTTTTACTAATTTCATTGGTAGAAACTTGTCCATCTTTTATTCTTTCCAGCCTGTAGACTATTTGAACTTTTAGGAATATTCAAAACTTAAATATCAGGATCAAAATTTGGGTTTAGATTTCTATATGTCTATATTATCATCCATAGAAATGAACGTGGTCAGTACTCTCAGACTAATAAACAGTTGTTAAATAGTTAAGAAGTAGTAACAATTTCATTGTCTGTTAAAAATATGCAGGTGGTAATGCAGATAGAGCAGTGATTCTGAACAGTAAAAAACTTGAAATACATTTATTTTCAAGCATCCCTATGATAAGTTGATTATGATTACTGAAAAACACACTTCCTAGGTGGGAAGTAAATGAGCATATACGTTCTAAAAAATTATTTGCAAGGGAAGTCTTCTACATCCTACTGTTTAGAGGAAATGTAGCTGACACCATGGTCTAAATGGGAGTAAATAGCATCATTAGAATGAATGCTCAAACTCTCCCCAAATTTATAAAAGAAGTCAATGAATTTATATATTTAACTGAAAGTAAATAATGACAAATTGTGGCTTAAGGTTTTCCTTTGAAAATGTCACCTTCTTTTGGATATTCTAAGGATGAAAAGAAAATATTTACCTTAAATGTCAATATTAGTTTGTTCGTGATAAGATAGCCATTTTTGATATTTTCTCAATAACATTTAATTCTACTTCTTTCCTTTTTATTTATATCTGTCCTCTTTGGTTGTAATTTAATAGTTTTGTCTCTAAGCTATTTGTTACAGTTTCTAATTGCTTTATGTTAGAAACTTAAATAGCAAGTGTAAAATGATTGCTTCAGAAGACAGTTCTGATAATGTCTAGAAAGGAGAAAAAAAGTTGAGATTGAAAGTAATGGAATTATGCAAATTAAGTTGTTCGTATCACCTATTTGATTGCTTCTCCCAAACTGGTACAGACAACAGGCAGCAGATTTTCTAGATGTTGAAAGGAACACTACAATAGTAAAACCTTCTGCAATAAAATTTAACTTATTTACTTCATATTTCCATCAAATTTATTTCTGGTCATACTGACTAAATCAATATATATATTTTTTCTTATTAGCAAACTTGTCAGCTTTTTTCTGAAGAAAGAAATATACATCAGGTGCTGTTACAAACTAATTCATAAAATTCCCATGAAAAGCTACTACTAGAGGTTTGCAAAAAAACTACTCTCTGATATTAATGGTACTTTAATTACCTAAAGTTTGACCATAGTAAAGAAGTATTTATTACGCAGACAGATATATTTTGCTTAATTAAAACCTTTAAAAAAAAAAAAAAACATTGTGCTTGTGAATGATAAGTACATTCAGGTTAGTAGACACACTGTAGGTGTGAATCACAGAAAAGTTACATTCTGTCACCTAATGGCAACTGTAAACCTATAAGTTTGATATTATGTTTTCAAGATGTTCTAATAGCCTCAAATAATTTTATTTTTTATTTACTACTACTTTGTAGAGGAGATGGTATCTACAACTGAGTATAGATTTTAATTACCATGTCAATAATTTGCAAGCTAACTGAGCTAAGACATTGGTTTGGAATGCAGCTTGCATAAGGCAATTCATAAACCACGTTTCTATCACACTCATGCTGGAATATTGTCCTGAAGACTTGGCAGGAGACCTGACTGATTACCAAGAACAATTAAGGGTTAAATGTCAGGTGACATTGTGAACCGCTCAGTTTTTAGCAGGTTTGATAGACATAGAAATGTGCAAATATTATGATTACTTCACATATTGGTGTGTTCTTATCTTATATTTCTCAAATATAATAAGTACATGTTAAAGTATTTACCTGTACTTAGGGAGCTTTTGGCAAAAATCTGTATGTGCATCATACATGAGAGGCAAATAATAAGACCTGTTCTGATTCTTTAGCACATTAGCCCTCCACAGAGTTGGAAACTATTTCATATGGATTATACTCATAATAAATTTAGAAAACAAAATTACATTCATGGGTAAAGGCTGATTTTTATTGTCTGTTTTCTTTCCACTATCAATTCTTCAGCAACCTAATGAGTACATTGTATAACGCAGATGTGCATTATGTAGGCTGAATACTTCCCTTTTTATAGATAAGCTAAATAAGTTTAACAGATGAATTTTGTTTTCTTTCATAATTTGTTACTCATTTTTTATTTCAATGAGGTTATCCAACAGCCTGGGAAAGAAACTAATCTAAGTTTTTCTCTTGTGCTAACTCACGTATAGTTACAATATGCCAGGTCTCTGATTCAGACGATGGCAGTAAAATAAAAAGATTTTCAAAGATTTAGCCAAAGCATGAAATATCTCCTTCCTAATGGAAAATTTTCTTGAATAATAAATGGACAAAAACATAAAATCTTCCTTACTTCCTTCTCTCTCTCCTTCCTTCATTCTCTCTTTCCTTCTCTTTCATTGATTGATAGCATTGTCGTTTGTATTAAATGTAAAATTTGATTGCTATGTAGATAAACAGGATCAAGTTGTTAGTATCAACTATTTTATTGCTAGAGAGTGAAAAAATTTAAATTTGACATGCTTTAGGAGAATGCCACATTTTCCTTCATTATGATTAGGAACTGATAGTAGTTCAGGAGAAGACCTTTTTATTCTTTCTGACTTCTATGTTTTCTCCTGCAGTTTGGAAGCTGTTTTTTCTTTCCTTTAGTGTTATCTATTCTTTTCTTTACTTACTGAGAGTTCATACATCTTCTATGGAGATATTGTGGCATATGGTTTTGCTTGTCCAATAGGGGGGTGTTGCATTTCTCCACATTCAGTATCCTTTTCCCTTGGAGCCTGAGAGTAAAACCTCAGCAGTACTCCCTCCCTTTGCCAGCCTGAGGAGTCAGAGACTCAAAGTTGTTCCCAGCTCTTGCGCCTTCATTGTAGAGCTGCATTCTGCTCAGTGGGCTGCCGAGAAGGACCAGACCGAAACAAGATTTAGAAGAATTCTGGTGAGAACTGTTTATAGGGATATGGTATTTTAAAAGAATGTAGTAAACAAACAGAATTGTGGCATAAACAAAGATAATTAGCATAAACAATGTCGTTTTAGGACAGGTGGTTTAAAAAAACAAACAAAACAAAAAACCCAAATATGAACCCAATTTGAATGCTGCCAGTTTGGAACCACTGAACCTTAATCTGTACTTCATGAGAATTACCCAGGTTTGTTGATAAACTTGTTAACATGCATTTTTTTGTTTCTTTTGTATCGTTTTCCGGTCATTATGCCCTTTTGTCACCCAGCTTGAAAGTAATTAATCTATTACAAGGTGGTTTAAGGAGTTTTTGCCCATAAAACATGACAGAAGGAAAATTTAAAACAAAAGCTTGTAGATGTTCATAGACATTTGAAGTCAGTGTCAAACCTTAAAGCAATTCAAACCTGAACTCGGCTCATTGTATTTCAAACCTCTCTTTCTTTTATCTAAGTAACATTTTAGTCAGTTGGCTCTTTAGTGTTAATACATTTACTTTTGTCTTGCCTTAAAATTCAGAGATGTTTTGCTGTGGCTAAATCAGCATTTTTGTGTTACGTGTTTCTAACTGTTGCTTATTTCTTATTATTTTTCTCTCTAACTTAGTGAAGGTGGTACAGCAGCGTATAAATGTATCTGATGATCATGCAATATGAGGATGCTAGTTATTATGAACCACATTATCTAAACCTACTATGCCGTCATGATGAATTTTTATCTGGAGACATTTAGGTTTATTACTAAATGACGTGTTTTCTTAATGCCTTGTACTGAAATGTTTTGACTTACATGAAATGTGGAGTGTGGTGGACAGAAAGCTGTTTATTTTTCTTGCATTAAGGATCAAAGTTCTTTATTGAAGTTAAAGAGATTTTTTTTTTCTCCTCACTTTCTCATGGACAATGGGGAGCAGGAATTCGAAGTGGGTATCTCTGGTATTCTGTGGCCCTTCTCTTTGCTGAAATGAAAGCATTTGTGAATGAGTTTTGGTTTCTTGGAGTTCTAAAATGTGTGTAAACTAGTAAACCATGTCTCATTCATGTGCTATGGAGATTTCTCGTACTTCAGGGACAAAAATAATTTGGCTACTAACGAATTAGGGCTACCTGCCAGTGCCAACACATAGTGTAGGTAAGAGGAACACTATAAAGAAAAGCTGCTGGCAGCAAATCCTTTGAAACTTTCATATGTAACAGCGTTTCTATTTCTGCTCTTCACATCTTTGAAAGAAAGTGTGTTTTAGAAAAGAAAATGTTAAAAAACAGAAGATATGATCTTTCTTAAAAATGTATGTGTAGCTCTACTTTAATATTTCTCATTGTGGAGATGCATAGGCTTTCATTATGTTGTATGCACTCTTGGTTCCCCTACCTTTCCCAATCATTTCTGTTACATTGAAGCCTAAGGATCAGATGCACTGAAAGTAAGTGTAACATGAAGAAATGAAATTCACTGCATAGAGCCAAAAAAAAAAAAAAAAGCCTCAGAACCTTATACAAATTTGATATTGGCGGTTTAAGGGAGTTAGATCAATTGGGACACTGAGCAGCAATTTCATAAAGGATGTGTCCTCTCATTTAGGGCTTCAGGAACATTTTTGAGAAAAGAAAGGAAAGAGTTAACCTGTGTTGCCTGTTGTTAATTTCTTAATATAGGAGTAAAAGAAGAGATAGACCCAAATTGTGTTTTTTGGCATATTTTTAATCAAAATTTATTTCAGAATGTAGTCGGTGTTTACATTAGTACTGAGTTTGCCTTTGTTTTTTGTTTTTATATTAAGTACGATTGAAATACCAGGGAGGTAGGTTATTTGAACTCTGGTTGTGAAACTTTTACATAAGATCTTTGATGTATCATTTTAAACTGTTTCATATTTATCTAATAAAAGAGCATCCTAATGAAAAAGAAAGACAACATTGAAAATGAGAAGTATTCCTTAACATAAGAGAATACAAGATGAAAAACTAATACTTTATTATATTATTAATTTTTCAGTCACAATTAATATAGATTGCTTGAAAAAGTTGTAAAACACTTTTATTCTAATTGCAGAGTTAAAGTATTATTTGTTTGCCTAAAATTCTTCCTTTGGTTATTTGCCCTGGGCCAGCGTTTGTTGGGCAATGGTTTTCAAAGTCCAAAGACTTTTTTTTTTTTTCACTCCTCTCCTGATGTCCCTTTGTCATTTTTTTTTTTTTNTTTTTTTTTTTTTTATTAGCTAGTGAGTTTCATAATATGTTTGAAAAGAGGTTGCAGGGGATGTCATATATAATTCAGGTTAATATTTCCTTCCTTTTTTCTTATCTGTACTCTAAGATATGTTGAAGATTCGTTAGGATAATATATAGTATTCTCATTGTTTAGTGTAGAACGGAATGACCAGGTGCTCAAACTATTCAATTTATTATGCATTCACTAATTCTACTTTGACCTTGGATGAATAACTGAATATGCAATGTCAGATTCAGATTCTTTGTCATCTATAATACAGCATTATCAGGATGTAAAGAAAACTTTTATGTAATAGTCAAAATACCAATAGTCAGACAGAACACCTAGGGATAGAAAAAGAGAGATAACTTTAATGCTATTCCTGAGAGTAGAACTTCTGTTTTCCTCCCATTCTAAACATAACTAGAATTTGGGAAACAGAGGAAAAGGTATTGTTTTTAGGAGCCTAGTGATTATGAGATATAATTATTTAGAGTGTAATTATTTCTAAAAATGTTAGCATTACTGGAGAAATAAAAGGATTCTAATTTGACCTGTGAAGAGTTTAAGAGCATTCAATGCTTTAAAAGCATTCTTCTGGAGAAATAAAAGCGTATCCAGAAGATCCTGATAGCAATTTAAAGAATCAAAGTGATGGGGCAGAATATTTAGACTTTTATAAATAAATTAAGAGATAACTGGAAGTCACTAACAGTTATGTGAAGGATTATTTTAGGGAATGTAATAGTTATATGTAAATGCACATGCAAAAGTTAGAAAGCCAGGAGAAACTTTTTCATTTATAGGGCAGTTGATCTCTTGAATGAATCCTGCCAAATTCTAATGAAGCTGCAGTTTGGGGCAAAAAATCTTGAAAGGAAGGAATATTTCATGGAAATACAAACAAGGTTTGTTTCCGTTTTCTTGTTTGCAGCACAGAATCCTGTGGCATGTGCTACAGGGACATATAATAGTATTACAGCTTGAAAAAAATTGAAGGTTGTATTGTGGTGCATTTTAATGGAAAATTTGAACTGGAGATGTTGGGTGAATCAAGGTATACTTGAGTAATATTTGGGAATATTTGAGATTTTAGATTGAGTTAATAAGGAAGTTGAGTGTTAAAGGTTTAAAGCATACCTATCGAGAGTGTGTGTGTGTGTGTGTGTGTGTGTGTGTGTGTGTGTGTGTGTGTGTGTGTAGTACGACTTATCTCCTCTATAAATAAAATAATTTCCTCTTTTAGGTTAAGATTTATACCTGCCAGTATCTTCACTGATTTTTTTGGGTGGGGGGTGGGAATGTAACAGTACAAAGCACTATCAGCTAGATGTTAAGATCTCAAGTTTTAGCTCTTCTTTACAAACTGAGACGTCTTTGGCTCTTAGTGTATGCATCTGTAAAATTAGGAGATGGGATGAATAATTTCTAAAATGGGTTATCTCTAAAATTTTCTTACTTTGAACTACATAGTTAATGTCCCCAGCTCCTAACTGTAATGGTCAGAATGTTTGCACCTTTGCAGCTATTTGGAGGTTATCTCTATGATCAGCCTTTACATGTAGAATCACTTCAGTTTACCTGTCTATTAGGTATCATTATACAGGAAAAAGCAACCATAGTGCACCTTAGGAATTTTTAATCTAAATATTATGTATAATTCTTATTTTGGATTAAGTGCCCAAGTTTGCTCTGAGCTATTTGAAGTGTTTCAAAAGATAAGATTCACATTTTGTGTTCCCCAAACTCTCAGACATCAGATCGCCATGCTAACAATTACAGATATTGTAAAAGATAAATTACATATGGTTTAATGAACAAGATACTATGGGGAAATATGAAAAGCATAAGAGTGGCAGTTTAGGTCAGAGAGCTAAATGTCTATTTATAAGGATAAAAGAAAAGAAAAAATATGAAGCTTCTGCAGAAGAGCATTAGTACAGCATAGGGGCTTGGACAGTATACATCTTTACATGAATAAATAAAATATTGGTCTGGAAAGTAGCAAGATCAACTAAGATTACAAACATGTAGTCCAAAGAAAAATTTTGAGTGTTTCTCAAAATAAATAACTATTAGCATTACCAGGCCGGTCAATTTGATATGCATTGTATTATGCTTGCTAGTTGACAATTTCAAGAAAAGAAATGTTAAGCCCTACAAAGCAAGGGAGTAGAGCAAAAAGCAATGAAGTGTGCATTAAAAGAGCTATATCAAGAGGACAAGCTTCATATATTGTTAATATATTTGGCAGGTCGCATGCTATTTTTTTTTTTTTTTAATGCACTGTTGGGAAAACATTGTAGTCGTACCATCAGGAACATACATGTCTAAGGTCCTTCCGCATTGTCTCTACTTAGACAATATGTCAGTGGTATCATGAAATCTCTGTAAAAATTAGTTCATATTTAAAATATAGATTCATGTATTTGAGATAACAGGGATTTGCTATGTTAAAATTAATTTTTTTGCAGAATAATTAGGATGTAGAATTTTTTTATTTGATTCCTGCCACTTTTAATTTAGGCATGAAGAATGGGTACTATTCTCTTTTTCTCCCTCTATAGATATAAATGTTGAAAAAAGAACGAAAGAAAGAAAATAACCTCACTGAACCGGCACTACATTTAGAACTAGGACCAAAGAGAAATGTGCAAATATCCCACTGTTAAACCAGAAAGAAAATCTGGAAATCATCCAGTTGGGCAACTTACTGCTAATATATTTTATAGTCCAGCATTTAGTTATATACAAAGTTGGCA